AGAGGGATAGAGAGGGAGAGAGAGGGAGAGAGAGGGAGAGAGAGAGGGGGAGAGAGGGAGAGAGAGAGAGAGAGACTGAGCCAGATAGTGTCACAGAGAGAAACAGTAAGTGAAACAGAGGAAGAGTGAGAGAGTAACACAAAGATAGAGACATAAACACATAGAGGTACACAAAGAGACATAAAGATACAGAGGGACACAGAGAGGCACATAGAGAAACATAAAAATACAACCTGGTATCATCAGTGAGACGACCTTAGAAAGAATATGTTTATAATGTTTTCTGTGAAAAAGAGGGGGGTGGCACACTTTAAAATTTTGAGGGTTGAGTTGGGGGGGGGGGGGCGTCAAGGTGCCCTGGGTTTTCTTGGCGAACTCGGCTCAGGTAAAACACAGACGAAAGCTGTTTGCAGCGTTTAATAATGCTTGATATGTTTTCGTATGCTGTGTTGCAGTGGACACTTACCATGGGTTCTTGTATGTGCAGTCACATAATGAAAAGTCCAGGCTTCTGTTTGATCTTAACGATAAATTGGCTGGGATACAGACATCGGTGAGTAACGAACTATAACATGTTAGCTGTTGGTGTTTTGCCGTCGTTGTTGTTGTTGTTGTTGTTGTTGTTTAACGTTGGTGGAGTGGTTAGAACCCTAGGTTCTTAATTGGGAAACCTGGGTTCTAATTCTGGATACAAGAATGGAAGCTATTCTTATTCTGTGCAGATTGTTAACAAAGACGATGTATTTGGAATTCGCCATACCTGAGCCAACCGCTGCCTATTTCAATTCAAGGAGGCAACAGCTATAAATCGGTTCAGTCCAGAATTATGTAGACAAAAAGACATGGTCGTCAGTCTGCGGTTGCCCTGGTGAAACAGGCAGTTACTTGTGAATGTGATGGATTTTTTGTTTGAAGTAGAATGATTCATTTTTTTCCTTCAGTTTATCGATTCATACTGTAGACGCACCTGCTGAGATACAGCAGAATAGTTTCGTCACCCAGCTTCTGAGTTGAGTGCATGGTGTGACACTGTGAGCTACGAGTGTTTTTCGTTGGCACAGGAGCGGAGCAACAATGGGGTGACCCGTTTGCTATGATGCTGAAACTAGGATTACCAGATTACCAGATTACAGCAGAATATGCCAGCCTATAAATTGTGTCATTTATTGTTCGTGTCTTATGTGTTCAAATCCACAAGGGGGACACTTTGCTTTAATTGTTTTTTTGTCAGAAGCAGAATTAAAAGTCATTTTCTGGACAGTTTGTGACGGGCTTGAGTCCACAATCTCAATACTGCATTGTCCTACACAGATCTGATATATAGGCAGAAAGCAATTCTTTCTTGTTAGTCTTTCGACGGTTCTAGTCATTTGTCGTCGTCTGCTTCTTCTGCCTTCGTCCTTACAAGGATGTTTTGTATAAATTGTTGGGGTTTAGAGCAAGGCTGCCATATACGTGCCTTCCAGCACAGCTAGTCCAATTATAGCAGACCCCGCATTCATAGCCTTGTATGACATTCTTGTTAATGGTCATGTGGATTCTGTGGTGATACATGACAAGGCAGATGTGGTCAAGGCACTTTGGGAACCAGCAACGAAGTCAGAAGAGAAACTAGATTACTATGGCCTCAAGGGATTGATGCACCTGGGTGCGACCAGAGGGCCTGATTGGCTCACTACACTAAGACGAAAGGCAAGACGGACATACAACCACACTACGACCGGTACCAACAGTATTGGGACTCTGCGCTGGCTGCTGAAGATGGGGACTGAGCGCAAATGAGTGTCCCAAGTGCTGTGATGTCAGTTCTTGACTTAACGCAGCTCAGCTGGGTCTCTTCTGTTCACCCCCCTCCCTTTACATAATAGGTCCCTGAAACTCACAAGAGTGTCTAGGTAATTGCCCATGCAGAAGTCACTACTGATGATGTTTGGATGGCAAATGAGCTACCGAGACCTGTAAGGGAAGTATCAACAAAATATAGTCAAGAGGACCGACTTCATTGCCCCAGGTTTTATCCAAACTGGCCCTGTCTCTCTTCACAGAACGATAGCCGCCTGCCGAGAACACCTCACAGAGCACGAACTCCAAAGCTCCGGCGACGATTTACAGGGTTCTCCATAAAATGTGCACTGAAAACCCTTCTCTAGCTCCCTTTTTCCCTACAGAGAAAACTCAAGGATTCAAATCTAGGTGTTCGACGTGAGAGCCCAGGATTTGTTAACCATTGGGCCAGCAGCGCCTGAATAGTTATGGCAAATTATTTCAAGGGACGTAATAGTGAAAAAAATATTCTGAGCTATTTGTATATTTTGTATCCCTTTATCGTTTTTTATTTTGTAAAATTAGTTATTGAGAAATAACACGACCAGCTCCAGGAAAATAAAGTAGGCCGTGAGAAGTAATTACTGCTCTTCACACAAAGATGCTAAACATTTCAGATTCCCGGAAACCTGTACGGTTTCAATGCTAACAATGAAAGTATTCGAGTGCCTAGCAAGGAGGTCATCCCGCCTATTTTACTCAGTCAGGAGCAGTACAGTCCTGGAGTACAGATGTACACAATCACAGGTATGAATTGTGTCTCTAGGCCCAAAGATAACATTTATATGGTGTATTTGGGATTTCTTCTTATTCTTGACATATCCTCGTGGGATGCAATTTGTTGTTTGAAGCCCCATCCTGGCTTCTGCCGGGGGTCCTGATTATAGTCAGGCCATAAACGGTTGGAATGGGTTTATGGGACCTCACCATGGGTGATCCTTATCCGCATGGTGGCACTTTGTGTCACCAGGTGTTAATCGCTTGTGTGATGTCCTGGTGGGGTACAACTACTACCCACCTTCTTCTTCATAATCCAGGGCCCCATGTGGAACAAATTGTTCTTTATTCCAAAGCCCCACCCTGGCTGTTGCCGGGGACCCTAATATAATCTAACGGTTGAACTGAGTTTCCAGGACCTCTCTACGGGTGATCCTCATCCGCATGGTGGCACTTTGTGTCACCGGGTGTTTATCGCTCAGTGTGATGTCCTAGTTGGGTAAAAAGTCACTCACTCACTCTTCTTCTGAGAGCATGAGACCTCAGCCAACTTTTGCCAAATCGTTATATCCTTTTCTATCACATGCAGCTCTCCACATGTCCTCCCGATCTTCTTTACTTCGCTCTCCAGCTCCATTCTCCATGTGTTTTTTCCCTTTATTTCTATGCGCCTGTGGGTTTCAGTGCAAAGACATAGCAATTAGGTCATTCCGCTTATATTACTTAGTCAGGAGCAGTACTGTCCTTGAGTACAGATGTATACAGTCACAGGTATGAATTAGGGGCTGCGTGGTCTTGAGGCATGGTATCCGCCTCGAGTGCTGGAGGCCCCAGGTTCAGGCCCTGGTGAAGGCTGGAATTTTTTCACGTGGACTTCTAGTAATTCCCCCTGGGTCATAGGTAGGTCGCCCGTGTGTATTGTTGCGCTCGTAAAAAAAAAATCCCTGGGCAGTCGGAAATCGAAAAGAGTAGCCAAACGGCGCTAACGTTAAAAATATACCCAAAGTATTTCAGGATCCCGGTTTGTACTACGGAGTTCGTGCACTGCGCTTATTTTCTTCGGACAGACTTGAGTTAGAAGTAGAACGAAGCACTTATGGGTTATTACCTTTGTTACATGATGTTGATCCGTTGTTTAAACATAAAACTATGTATGAATTGTGTCTCTAGGCCCAAGAATAACATTTATATGGTCTTTTTTGCTTTCGCTCCTATATAATACACACCCAAAAAAGATACTTAACCTCTGGGTATCTGTCTTTCATGCTGCCTTATCAGATGGGAAATATTCTTAACAGAAATTGTTTTTCCTAGTTTTTCTGTTAATAATTATTATTATTTTTATTTTTAAATCTTATTATGTTATTGTTTTTCCTTCTTCTGCTTGTTGTATTGTGGTTCACATATAGTTTGCAATAAGTTGACCTAAGACATCTAATCTGACTAAAACCTTAGTTAGTTGTCCCTTATGACATGCCTGTTGTGGGGCAGTGGACATATTGTACTCGTCCATGCCAAAATGGAGCTAAAGAACTCACAAAAGGAAAAGATGTGTTTAACATTATTCTCTTTAGTGTTTGATGTGTCCCTGTATGGGTTCCAGGGTTCCATTCTTAGGGAGATGGGGGGGGGGGGGGGGGAAGTAGACCTAGTGACTTTTCCCTTCCCCCCCCCCCCCCCCCCCCCCCCCCCCACCATCTCCCTTTTATCAAGACAAGCATGTCATAAAAGTCGAGAATTTATGTTTTTTTGTGTCGAAACTCTGCGTGCAAATTCCTGATAGGTCAGGAACCAACAGTCTGGATACAAATAAGACTGTGCGTGTAAAACTCAGGTTGCTAAATAAGACCGAAGTCCAGATGTAGATGAACTTTCCACAAGAATTTACAGCTGGTGAACACAAAGAAGGCGAAAAAATAAGCTTGATGTTGAAGCAATGATTTCCCTTGTAAATTAAAGTGACTGTATTTTTTTAGATGAATATTTTTTAAAATTCTTTTCTGAACACATGTGATCTATTCGTTAGCATACTTCAAGCACCCAAGCCTCATCTGCAGCCCCTACACACAGCATGCACACCCGGGCAAGGGCTTGTACATACAGATGGGTTACCGTGTCGATATACAGTACGAGAAGATTCCCTTGGATGCTCATCATTTGTCCGAGGAATGGAAGACCGGGACTTGTCTTCCAAACATGGGTTAGTCTATCTATTTTCTATTTATTGTCTAACTAGAAATGGAGAAGAGATTTATGAGTTAGATTATCTTCACAGCACTCCGGACACATCCATAGGCGCTCAGATTCATATCTCAACATATTTATCAGAGTCGTGTGGGTTATAGTGCCAGTTCTATGTTGGTTAACAAGACTTCATGTGCGCCTGGTGTACTTTTCATGCTTGGCTGTGCTGATCTTTACTCCCAATTTGCGTATTCTTAGCAGTGTTGTGGACACATTGTTTCCAAAATCTTCAGAATGTCCTACCTCTCTAAGGGCAATGACAATATCTGCGTGATCCAAGGGCCGGCCATCTTCAATTAATGCACCACCCGCCAGTCTATCAGCTCTTTAATTACCAAAAATGCCTGAAGGGAAGAGAATGTATCTGTGTTTGATCTGTCTCTATTATCTATATATGATCTGCACCCAGATAACGAGTGCATATCTTATTATTTATCCTTCTGCATATTTTATGATTTATCCTTCTTTAGGTATATAATTACCTGATGGATGTGTATTAGGTGTCTTCAGATATATGTTGACTTCCATCTGTCACTACGTAGGCAATAACTGTTATCTGATCCAGGTGTAGAATACTTTTTGAAGAAGGAAAGCAATAGCTAAATACCTTCTTTAAAGGATGCCATACAAAAATCATGATTTTTAACACGTAGCTGTATGACAGGGCAATAATATGTCTGGGTAAACATTTGACATCACTGCCCTCAGGATATGCCCCAACTAGCTCTGTCTTCCTTATCAAGAGCCAGCTAAGAATCTTCATACTGAAGGTACTAGCTGTCATCATGGTGACTACTCAACTTGATCAGTGAATCTGATTACCATGAGCTGAGTTGACTTTAGCTAATTCAAGAACCGACATCACAGCACTCACAGCACTCACAGCACTTACAGCACTCACAGCACTCAGAGCACTCACAGCACTCACAGCACTCAGAGCACTCACAGCACTCACAGCACTCACAGCACTCACAGCACTCAGAGCACTCACAGCACTCACAGCACTAAACACTCCATTCTCATATTTAGGCAGTCAGTACAGAGTTCCAATACCAGTGGTGCCAGTAACATTTTGATTATACATCCACCTTGCCTTTTCTCTGGGGGTCAAGTATCGGCCAGATTCCATCGTTACTCCCCGCTGCAACACTCTCACTAGACTGTGGTGATGTATTTACTTCTCTGAATTGTACACGTTCTCCCACAAGGCCCTACCCATGTCTGCCTTATCGTGCATCAGTATTCCACCAAGTTGTGCAGAGCCAGCCAGTCTGTCCTCTTGTTGATTTCCCATCACACCGGCATACCATGAAGAAGAGATCCAGACAGTGCTCCTCATCTGTGACCTCTTAAGTGAAGTATACCATGCATGTCCTCACCTTCCTTAGCATGCTTTCTGAGCATGATTACCTTGATAGATGACAGACCATGACCATCTATGCTTTGTAGACATTTATAGTGCATTATCTCATGTTACCATGGGTCATTTAGAAGATATTGTTTCATGTGATCATAGTTCACATGTATTGTTTTTATGTGAAAATTATTCCCATCTGGGGTTTGGCTCCTTTTTTTGTGTGGAAGAAAATGAATAACCCGACTGCTCCTAACAACTAAATAGGGTTGTTTTCTTCGAAGAAGTGCATCTGTCTGAGAGGCAAAGAGCCAACAGTCTGCATACACATAAGCCTGATCTGTAACACGGATGTGCACCAAACAGTTAGGTTCTGGAACAAGACTAAAAGTCCAGAGATACGCTAACAATCAACAATTTCCACCTGAGCTTACAGTTGGTGAAGACCTTGAAGAAGAAGAAATTGTTTTCATGTGACAACAGATCACTGAAACCATTCTGCTTGTCTATGACTGCAGTTGATATACACTATACTGTTTTATTATAACTACAAGCCACTGAGACTGCCTGTTCATATGACCACAGACATATGACCACAGACATATGACCACAGACATATGACCACAGACATATGACCACAGACATATGACCACAGACATATGACCACAGACATATGACCACAGACATATGACCACAGACATATGACCACAGACATATGACCACAGATCTTTGACACTAAATAAAATTAAAGTTACAATGGAGAGGATCTATTTGGCTTGGTATTTCTACACAGAACAGTTAGCCGAAAATGTCACAGAAAGCACACACTCTATAACTCCAGTGATGATTGCCAGGGATTTCTGCCGCATTCCTACACTGAATGGTGTGTCTGTGAAACAAACTGATGACATTCAGAGCAGTAGGCAAATGGCTTGACCACTTCAACATGGCTACCGTTTCCTTCTTCTTCTTCTTCTCTTCACTACTTCTGGAAGAATCGCAGCATCAGGGCAGGTAGAGCTCTCTGGAATGGGTTCTTCTGTTCACTTCGTATGAAGTACTTTTCAGGAGCTCTGATATTTCTGCGGTCCATCTTCTGCATGGTCTACCTCTGGAACTGTTATGCTGTATCTGTACAACATATACTCTGAGGTACCAGTCTGATGTCAAGCTTACTCTTTTCTGACGATTAGGTAATCGGGTAATCGCAGTTCCCGCTACATAGCAAACAGGTCACCCCATTGCTCTGGTCTTTTTGACAAAAACACTATATAAATGTCTATCACTATCCCTTGAAATAAACAAACCAAAAAAATTTGACACAGACTGCATGCAGTTTCAGAAAACGGATTAAGGGACACACATTAGATGTTTAAGGCATCTGTCAGAAACACAAACACAAACAAACCGACACTAGAAATGCAGTTTATCATCGATGGAAACAGCAGTTACAAAAATAGTCGCATACACAATTAATTGAATAAAGTACCACCAGTTCTCCTGCAGCAGACCACTCACCATTTTCTGAATCTGCAGTTCACATCAAAAAACCACACTGCGCACAATCAAAAAGCATTCCTTATAATAATATGTCACTTAGTCTTTTTGCTTCGAAGGATGCAAGTCACTTATATGATACTGTTTTTCTATAATGACAGGTCATCTATACTTCAAGAACTTGTCCAAGGAACTGCCCTGCGAGAGACTCTACCCGGTGTTCCTGATGTACAATGATGAGGGGCAACTTGGAGGGTTTGGCTGGCTTTTCCAGGGAATTCCCCCTGCAGAATCTCCCCGTTCGCCTGTTAAATGGTTCAAGCATTCTGTTCAGTATTATCCTGTATGTAGGCTATGTTGTTTGTTCTTTTGCATTCATAACAATCAATACAGAGTTACCAGCACGCACACATGCACCCACCCATCCACACACATACTAAATTAATTAGATTCACATTTTTAAACCTCGTTATGTCTTCTCTCATTGTCTTGCTTTACCTATTTATGTAAATTTGTCCAGTTGTGACAATATGGAGCACATTCATCTTCTCATGTGTTCTATTTTCAGTTGTCTACCCAAAACTGTGATTCTTATGTTGATTCACTCTCTATAATTTCATACATGTATTCTTAGCTTCCTTAACTCTTTGAGTCCCAGGGGGTTTGGCATCACAGGCCCAGGGGGTAGTCAAGAAAGATGTACAATCGGCGCATCTTGCGTTCATTGGGCTTCTAGGTAGGAATCTATGAACGTATGACGCGTTCCTTGGGACTCAAAGAGTTAATTGTTTAGCTCTGACTAATTTGTATGTGACTTTTGTTTATTTGGATGGTTGGCTCTGTATAATTTCATGTAACTCATTTACTTTCTCATTTTCTAGTTTATACCTGTTAAGAATTATCAGTTTATATATCTGTGTGTGAGTGTATGTGTCTGTTTGTGTATCTCCACAGTACATCATAAAGAAAGAAAGAAAGAAAGAAAGGTCAAATAGACTGACATGAGGAATGGCAAAAAAGTGACATGTGGTTGAAGTAAAAAAATACGGACAGATAGATCTTTTTCTTCTTTTCTTCTTTACTTTCATCGTTCAGTGAGCTCCATGGGAAAGTTTTGATTGTTGTTCATTTTGACTTTGTGCCAGGACCTGAGTTTTGTGTGTAGGGCCATGTTACTAACTTATTTGTGTGCTGTATATTGTTGCTCACTTCTCAGGCAGATTTACTTGACTTATTTATAGACTGCATCTCTCAATTAAAATAATATTAGGAGCCTATCATGAATGTCTGTCCAGGACATATGTTTGTGTGGGATAATAAGCATGATTAATGACTGCTGACGCACCTCTGGGTGGTGAGCTACTTTATGATAATGCCGATAGTGTAAAGATACTTTGTGATCAGCTGGAGAGTGCAGTGGTCGAGACAGTTTCCATACCTCTAGAGAATTATAAAGTGGGCAGTGAGCAGAGAGTTTGGACAGTTTTCAAAGCACTTGGAAAACAGGCAGACAATTGATAAGGTTGCAAAAGACACTATCAATATGGGAACTCCTCGTTGGCTCATAAGGAACAGATGTTAGCAACAGCAAAGAGAACTACAACTAATGACTACTAAGATAGTAGTAGAATACAAAATAAAGGCGGTTGTAATGAACTGGTCACTGTATCTGTAACAAGTGCACTCCAAACAGGATTGATGACACACAGAAAAACCTGAGACAGGGGCATGCAAACAGCTAGAAGTGGGGGGGTGGGGGTGGGGGGGGGGGGGAAGAGAAAACTCAGCCCTGGTAATAGATTAGTCTGTCTACTCTTGAGAAAATATATAGTGACAGAATGAGAATGCCCTTAGAGCCGTGATGTCAATTCTGAATTTATTCTCGTTTGACTATTGTGTATGTTTTTTTTTTCTTTTCTTGCCCAGGCAATATTTGACGCCACCATGTTGCCTGCCTGCATGTACAACCCAGCCTTTCACGTGTTTGGCATCCACATCTACCTCCGCAACGAGCACACCATGACATGCCCGCGGCCGCAGCTCTCCGACGAAGACCAGGGGGATCTTGAAGAAGATAGAACCGATGACAGAAACGAAGAAGTGACCTTTCGGCCGTTGGCCTCACAAACAGCTACCCACAATGCAACAGCTAACCCAATGCCCCCGAAACGCACAGACTCACCTATGAATAATATCATAGTTGATGATGTCAAAGAGCGAGGTAGCAGCAGCAGCAGTAGTAGTAGCAGCATCACACATGTATCTTTTCTGTATATTATTGTTTCATGTGTATTATCTACTATTTATTTAGGATTCTTTAGCATATACTCGTTAAAACATTTTGAATATATTTCATCTAGGTAGCATATTGATATGACCTACAGCTTTATATGTGATTTGTCTTTGTCAGTTGTTTAACATCATCCTTCTGTTTATTCATTCAGTTCTGTGCGAAACATGATGTTATCGGTTCTTCCTCAAGAACTCAAACTATCCCATGTTATGTTATCTTGCAATTTTTGGTCATTTGGTCATCAAATACTGAAGAAATTTGCCTTCCCTGGTAGTTATTTCCACAGTGTAGTATGTGTCACTAAAACTACTGAGCATATGACTATTCACAATAGTTATTCCTCATAGAGCATTGTGGTAGCTTACTATTGATGTTCTTACCAGAGCAAATTATTATTTTATGCCTTAGAACAGTACACAGTCAACTTCACAGCCACATGTACACAAAATTTAAGATTGGTGAATCAGCCATGTGTACACGTAATCTGGCACCTCAGACAACAGATCACATAATCCAAGACTGTTCCAAATACTTCAGGCCAAGAAAAACATCTGTAGAAGCCAAAGTCTGTGTGTCGATGAGTGAATTTCAAAAGACAGTGAAGTTCATACTAGAGACAACATTGCAGATATAAATAATGTATTTCAAGCGAATGAAAGAAGAAGAAGAAGATGTTCTGACCCCCAGATGGCTGGAGGTTAAAACAGGCTGGGGAAGCTGCTGATGGCTTGATTATAATTTCTTTGGAGGTCGACAGGGAGATTTTGGATTAGCCCTGCAAGTTCACCATGCAGACTGAGATTTTCATCCTCTCAAGGTGTCAAGCTTTATAGGCAGCAGCCAGGAAAGGAATGGAGAGTCAAGAAGGTGTATCACATTAGCCAGAGGTTTACCTGATGGTTTGAGTTTGAACCTACTTCGGTGCAGAATATTTGGGCATGACATGCTCTCCCAGGCTGACCCAGCATACCATAAAATATGATGGGAAGTAAAGGTGGCTTTCCTGATGACGACCACTTCGCCCATCAAATGTTGATTGTTCGATAATAATGTATATCTACAACATTGTGCCCCAATGTGTCAGTGGCTGAGATAGACCCATTACGTTACCATTTTTTTTAAAAGTTCACTTGTTTATCTCTTCTGCAAACGATTCTGGAACTGGATGAGATATTGCGTATACCAAATGTTGCTTGTGCTCTGTACATATTAATTCTACTAGTTTATTTTTCCATGCATTTCAAATATTATTGCTGCTGTCAAAATACATTAATGACAAATAATAGTTGTATTTGTAACTAAGTCATACACTATTTGTGGTGATTGTTCATCCACCATTGACGTCACACAATGCAAGGCATGTCCATATATGCTCCGTTGCTCTCAGATTTACAATCGCTGGAGACTGAGGGGATGTATCAATGTTTTTTGTGTGTAAAGTTTCATTTGCGAAATTCAAACACTTTCAAATTTATTATATTTATTTGCTATGTAGCACAGTATTATTAAACACTTGAGAAAGGCTTAGGCCTCATCAGGCTTCCTCCCCAGAACATGTATATGGATGTTGAGGCAACACATTCCCCCTCCAGCACCCTCTTTTCAGGTTTTCTATATTGTCATCATCCCTGTTAAAATGTCCACTAAAACTGTCTTTCCCCACTTTGCTGAACTGGTATGTAACTACTGTCCTTGCCCACTTTAGTGAACTAGAATATAACTACTGTCGTTCCCCACCTTAGAGACCTGGAATTTAACTGCTGTCCCAATTCCCATTATAAACCTGGAATATAACTGCTGTCCTTCCCCACTAATGAACTGGAATATAAGAAAACCTCACAGTCATAATACACGAAGTCGTCCAAAGATTATCTGTATTTGTCGTTCAATCTGGGTGTTTTTGATTTTATTTCGGCTACATTTAAAGACATAACATATATGCAGGTATATACCTGTAAATATAAGTTAGTTAATCATTAGATTATCTTCACTGCACATCAGATAGGTCTAAAATGCTTTGGATCTCATCTTCAGTATGTCCACAGAGTGTGATTACTTACACACCAATTCGATGTTGATTTGCTATATACATATACACATACACACACACACATGTATATAGATATATATATATATATATATATATATATATATATATAAATAATAATCATCATCATCATGTAGCATATCCTTTGCAGAACGTAGCTCCCATCGTGGTCTGCCTGAAAGAAACTCGTCTCTCTGTCTCTCGTCAGCTTACCCGTTGAGAGCCAAATTGCTTTAAAAAAATCTGTCATGAACTATGTTTTTGAGAGTCAAAACGGATTTTTGGCTAACTGGCAGAGCCACACTCAGGTTGCTAAAGAGCCACTTACCTAGCCAGCTGCGTCAGAGGAATATGCAGTTTTATTTAAGAATAATATAGGATGTATTTTAATGACTGTAGATGTTTGAAAATAAATAATTTGTGCACTGTAATTAAATTTGCTAATACGTCATGTTTGAAGTGCCATGTAACCATTAGATTCTAAAATCACTGCTATTTACCGGTGTTTTAGTTATTTATCTTAGCTATAATGATGTTAACTATTGAAGAACGCGTAATTTTGATTTAGCATATGTTCCTCAAAGGTGCTGGGTATTCAGATGTGGTTTTTTAACAATTTATTACGTCATCTCTTGATAGTCAAGTGCCTCATTCTAACACTAAGCAATTTAACCAATAGAATGGATTGTGAGTAGAGCTGTAATGATGAAAACAGTACACAAAGTAAGACACACTATAGCGGTATATGCTGCATTAACTTCACAGACGGGGACTACACATCATCGGTGACAGGGTCGCCTATTGGTTGGCCAGTAGAGGACTTCATCGCCGGTCAGGACAGTAGTTGGGTCTGTTTTCTCCACGCTGCAGGAGTCCTTTTCAGGGCTCTTGGTGGTGTGCAATGCTTCTTCTTCTTCTTCTTCTCTTCCACCTTGTACCTCATCGAAGTGTCAGAGAGAGATGTAACGTTTGTTGATGAGCTCTGTCAAGAGCGCTATTAAGACTGATGTTCATTTCTGTAAGGCTGTTCTTAATGCCATCACTCCATATTTTCCGAGGTCTTCCACTCGCTCTATACCCGTTGTAACGTTTTAGTGTGGCTCGCTGTGGCGGATAGTACCAGGGCATTCTTGTTAGGTGTCCAAACCACTTTATTTGTTATTCTTTGATGACCTGTAAGACTGGCTTTATTCCTAGCATTCTTCTGATTTCATGATTTCATATTCTGTCTTTCCTTGAAACTCCTGCAGCTCTTCTAAGGCATTTCATCTCTGGTCAGAATTATAATCTAAAGCTCCTCCTTCAGGAATGCTGGTTGAACGTGGCGATTGAAAAAACAATTTTGGAGCAAAGCAACGGAAGACGGTGATTACAAAAAATAGGAACGGCAAACTTTTCAAATAAATACAGTCTTTAAAAATACAGCCTGTATTTGTTCTAGTCGTAGTCGTAATAGTATGTTTTTGCTCTCCAAACAGCTGCCTGAGGGTTTAAACATTCCTGAGACTTCTAAAATCTCACTATGGACAATCTTATGTGCCCCGCTCCTCCTCCAAAACAAAAAAATAGTTGGACAACGTGCAAGGTGGGCTAGGCCAGCCTGTTATAATATGAACAGATTTGTTATATTTATATTCAGCCATTACTGTTAATTTATTTTTGGTCATGTTACGCATTTTTAAACTTAACTGAGCGATTTTAGCAATGGTTCATAGACGAGTGTGTTTCAGTCTTCATAAAGTAGCCATCTTATTGTACATAATCTGTTTTTGTTGCTGTTGTTGTTGCTCTGTATAGTCATATGAATGAACGTGCTGGTTATGTAATGGAGATTCATAACTGGGTGTATGTGTATTTTTGTGTGCGTGTGCATGTGTGTGTGTTGATTGGTTTAGTGTTTAATGAGTAAAACATTATTTTTGTTAACAATAAACCTAATTTGACACATATATTCATATTAAAAACCTGACAGGTTCATCTATAACTAATGTTATTGTAGTGATTTTCCAATTGTTAGCATAACGATAACATTGGGGCAGGCGAGATGTATTAACATAAATGCTGTTTTCAGTTACGCTGGTTTATACGGAGCAGATTCTCAAAGTGAATGATACCCATCCATGAGGAGGGCTGGAACTTTACACAGAGAGGAATCAGAGAGGAGGGGACAGTCTCTTTTTATAAGTATTTCGGGGTGTGAGTAGGGGTTACAATAAATAAAGGAATGGCTAGAGATATATCGGGCGTACTCTGACACGAATGAGCAAAGAATTACAAAACAAGCACTGAAATGAGAAACAAATGGTCTCAGGGGGAAAAAAAAACATGTCCAGGGGAAACATAAAAAAGAAAATTATTACGAGAGGCTAAAAATTCTGGGATGAACTCCATGCCAGAAATTGAGAGAGTTGCATGCAGTAGAGTGGAGTGGAGGAATGGAATCGAGCCCTATGTGACGTCTAATTGCCTACAAAGGGTGATGATATCAAAACAAAAAAAAAACAAAAATGAAAAATAATATTTTTGAACAATAGTTGTTACCTGTTTCACATGACATGAAAAAGAATTAGACTCACAGTGATTACTTAATTTTACGTATTTATCACTGAATAATTTTTGTTCTTATCTTTCAAATATAGATAGTAGATTTAACACAATAAAGAGGGCATTTTATATTTGTAGTGGGATCGCAGCAGTGTAGGAGCTAGACAATGGCTTATCTTCCTCAGCATTTTGTGTTCGAATAACAGATGATTTGGATTTTCAGGACATGTTACGATAAGAGACCCAACAATGAGTGACCTCCCTTTCTATTTATGCCTCAATCTGGTGTACAGCCTGTACTATGTCGGAGGAGTTTCAGCCGTAGTAAGTCGTATTTTACTTCTTGTTGTCAGCGGTCGGCGATATCGCGTCTTCTATACTGGGACTGTTTTTAACTGTCCCAAAACATTTAAAACTGGGTCTAACCCCCACCCCCCCCCCTCACTCCACAGCCTCAGCCTATGTCTTACGACTGTATGG